TTTATTTGACAGAGAGAGAGAGAGAGAGCATGAGAGGGGGGAGGGTCGGGAGGGACAGAGGGAGAAGCAGACTCCCTGCCGAGCAGGGAGCCCGATGCGGGACTTGATCCCAGGACTCCAGGATCATGACCCGAGCCGAAGGCAGTCGCTCAACCAACTGAGCCACCCAGGCGCCCGAGCCTGTTTTCTTAACTGTAGAAGATAATAATAATAATAATAATAATGGCTCTCTTTCTGGGGTTTTGTGGGAATTAGAGAAAAGATGGTGTACACGGTGGACCTCAACCGGTTAAGTCCTAGGAACTGCTAGTGAAGGTCCGGAGTCTCGTCCCATTCCGACGTCTACCGGTTCTGTCGGCTTAGGCAGTCCTTCGCCCCTCTCAGCCTTGGTTTCTTAATCTGTAAAATGGGTAGAAGCAACTCAAACATTTGCAAGTGAGGATAGGAGGAGGCGCTGATGAGAAGTGTGGGTGGGTCGTTAGTCCCATTACTGTGCCCAGGCCCCTGGGGGAGAGAGATGCTTTCCCCAGTGTAGTGTTCCCAGAACCACCAGACTCGCAGAGACCAAGTTCTCGGGCAAGGTCACAGCGGGACCATCCCGGCTGCTGGACCTCCCTGCCCTGCACTCCAAGTGGCTATTGTGAGGCCAACAGCTGTCTCCGCCAAGTGGCATCTCTGGGGCACAAAGAGCAGTGGAGAGGGCAGAGCACACTGGCTCATTGTCCTTGGGGCTGAGCAGCCGCAGCTGGGGGCCACGGGGGGTTCCTCTGACCTCCACCCCATCCCGACACCATGGCTGTCCTGCCACCCAGCCCCGCCCCACTGGACCCAGAGTTTCCCTTCGGCAGCACCTGAGCAGCATGAAGCCCCCTGTCTCCCCCAGCGCTTTTATCAGGGGCCCTTAGGAACAATAAGCTTGAGGAGGGTGACCTCGGACCTGGGGGCAGGACACTGGTCCTCGTTCCTTACGGCACCGACCTGGGAGGATGACTCTGATACAGCTGCCCCCTGGTAGCAGGCACCCACATGCGCTTCTCGCAGCCGGCACCCCCGGTGAGGTCACGCTGGGGGGTCCCGTTTCACTGGTGCAGAATCTGGGGCTCAGAGGGGTGATTAAATGACTGGCCCAGGGGG